GATTATTCCGTCATTCCATCATTATTCTGCCAGTATTCCATCATTATTCCATCATTCCATCATTATTCTGCCAGTATTCCATGATTATTCCGTCATTCCATCATTATTCTGCCAGTATTCCATCATTATTCCGTCATTCCATCATTATTCCGTCATTCCATCATTATTCCGTCATTCCATCATTCTGCCAGTATTCCATCATTATTCCGTCATTCCATCATTATTCTGCCAGTATTCCATCATTATTCCGTCATTCCATCATTATTCTGTCATTCCATCATTATTCCGTCATTCCATCATTATTCCGTCACTATTCGTTCGTCATTATTATAATTTGTCATTATTCACCCCTGGCATTACGTATTCTTTACACGGGTATGTAACACAGATCCCGCTAGGTATTGGTGTGCACATGGAGACAAGGCACGCATGCGCAGACGCACACGCTCGTACATGTTTTATTGTCGATAAACCCGTTTATTTATTTACTTAGGTTATCCATGATATAGCATACTTTTACAATATATTTTGAATTCATGAAATTGGATAACTACCAAGGATATATACACAAACAGCATGACTAGCACACTTTATACACGTACATTTGTCTACAGTTTTTTAAAGTTTTTTAACAGTTGTTTACAGTTGTTTTTGCCTACAGTTGTCATATGGCACGGATCCCACTAGGTAGCCTATACTGATGCGCACATCGTGGCATGACACGCATGCATCAACACTACAGGCTAGCATGCTCACACACACACTCATCACACGCTTACATATTTTATAGCTACGTGAACACATGATTGATACCGTGCACGAATGATATTAAATGTGTCGCCTATCCCAACACAAAGTGACAAAGGCATCGTCAAGGGCAACCGCATCAGTTTTTTCTTCACATACATTATAGCGTATATTACACTGTCGTGGAAAGTTCATACCGTACACCGCATGTATTCAAGCAACGAACTGCCTGCGTGGAAGAATTTCATGACCAGAGTTAGCTGTGCAGTATGGCCCGCACGTTCGAAAAATCTAATATATAATATCGAATAATGAAAAGAAGTAAGTAATTGAAACCGCGAAGCAACGTTAAATAGTAAATAACGATGATATTCACCATTTAACATCGGTTTTCGATTGGGAATTTTACTTTGCGCAGGCTGGATCAAAACGTTTGACAAGAAATATATAAATCGTATCACATAATTCGTAATCGAAAACAAAAATAGAATATATGTAATATAATATCGAATAATAAAAAGAAGTAATCGGATCGTGAAGCGACGTTAAATGGTAAATAAAACATTGATGTTTACCACTTAACACCGGTTTTCGGTTGAGAATTTTATTGAGATTTTCGATACGAAGTTAATCAGCAGGTCGTTGATATTTAGTTATTTTAATTACCATTTGACATCGGTTTTCGATTGGGAATTTGATTTCTCACAGGCTGGAAAGACTTATATGTAATACGATATAATAAGACAATATATAAATCGTATTATATAATTCGTAATCGCAAAAAAAAAAAATCAAGTATATAGCATTGAATAACAAAAAAAAACGATATCAAAACGCGAGGAGCAACATTAAATGGTAAATAACATTGACATTTAGATTGAGAATTTTGATTCTGCGCAGGTTGGCTGAAGACTTTTGACAAGTACTACCACGACCAGACGCGTAACATCTTCGCTTCCATGCTGAAGCAGCTTCCCCTCGATAAGAGGAGGAGATTCATCTATGCAGAGATATCCTACTTCTCCGTGTGGTGGGAGAAGCTCGATGAAACGCAGCGTGCCACGGTCAGGAGGTGAGAGAGAGGAGGGGGGATGGAGGAGAGAGAGGGAGGGGAGGGAGGTAGAGAGAGGAGGGGGAGAGGGGGAGGGAGAGATGTCCTACTTCTCCGTCTGGTGGGAGAAGCTCGATGAAACGCAGCGTGCCACGGTCAGGAGGTGAGAGAGAGGAGGGGGGATGGAGGAGGGAGAGAGAGGGAGGGGAAGGAGTAGAGAGAGGAGGGGGAGGATGGAGGAGGGAGAGAGAGGGAGGGGAAGGAGTAGAGAGAGGAGGGGTAGGATGGAGGAGGGAGAGAGAG